GCTGCAGCTGCGGTCGCAGTGCTCTGTCCGAAGCTAGTCCACCAAGTGCAAACAGACAGTCTGCTGGGCCAAGAAAACGTGGGGGTGATGATACCGAACACATTTCAGTTAAACGAGACATAAAAGTTATACGCCTCGTTACAAGCTTCCTTTTGTGGGTAAATTAGCTTTTACGTCTGGAAGGGATGCTTAAGAACGAGGCTTACTGCTTGGAGTGAGATCCATACCAGGCACGGTTCATTTGCAACGCTCCGAGTTCTTATAAAGACTGTAACAACCCACAACAGAGGGCGTGCTTTTACACATTACAATCTGCTTATAGAATACATCACAGGAAAGCCGAACACATCAGGTCAGAAAATGATCCAGCACTACCACGCAGATAAGTAAAACAAAAAAAATAGCACAGCCCCTGCTTTCCTATAGTCAGTGTGGGCAGGGCGTATGAATCGCTTTTGGAACTGCGGAAACAAAAAATCAGGCACCTATTAGAATTGTGCTGGGCACGAAAACAACAGTTCGTTTTAGAACAGTCGCTGATATATCAACGCAAAAGAACCGCGATCACACGTATCACTGATGGGGTAATTCAAATACGAAAGTTCTTTCCGATGCCCGCAGTCTCTTTTACCCAATGTAGGCCATTCAATGCTAGGAGACATGTTCTCTTCACCTAAGCATATAGGTCACAGTTCGTTGCAATGCAGAGGAAGCTACATCACCCGCGTTGTCAGCATGGCCAGCCCAAAAATAGCACGCCGGACGGCTGTCTTTGTTCTGTCCTGTTATCTGCGTGTAAATCTTCCCGGAAATTGCACGTGATATCACTTGGGAAGAAATGTTTCACGCACTTGGAGCAAAGATCTTATCATGCTGGGCACATACAGGTTGCCATTTGTAAATGGGCGGAAACATGCAGATCGTGGCTTAATGTCCTCCACATTACCTATCGCCTGGGAATCTTGCATGAACGCAGAAAACACGCATGTGGCCAAGGATAACCCCAATATCTTAGGTTAACGTCGTGTCGTTCATACCGAATTGAAAGCATCAACCCGTCCTGTTGCCCGCACATTGCAATAACGAGCATCTAACGGGTCACGGCTTTCCACGATCTACTGGATGTACTTTCTTTCCCGCAAAACATCATTTGAGTTGGTTCATTGCAATCCCACAGCTACGCTGTGTGCACATGTACGAGTGTGAGCCCCCTGTATCTGTGGCGGACTGCACCAAGGCCCCTGCACCCGTGAGAGACGTCGCCGTTATTTGCCTATCCGACCAGTCACCGACTGATAGTGTTGATCGGGGCCCGTTCGGCTGCGTCACGGGCCACCCTCCGCCCCCTGCACTGATAGCGTTGACCGGGGCCTGTTCGGCTGCGTCACGGGCCACCCTCCGCCCCCTGCACTATCACTGGTTCTGATGGGACGCAGATTAGTCCCGCTCACAGTCTGGGGCCGGCCGATCGCCGAGCAGAGCAGGCAGCTGCGCGGCCCCGGTGACCGGCGGTGCGGCAGCGGTCGGGCGCCTCCCCCCCCCCCCCCCCCCTCTCTCGGCAGACCGTGTGAACGTCTGTGTGCCTTAGCTAATGTGACCGCTCTGTACGGATACATTCGCAATTATTAACCCCGGTGTGGTACACTTCACTGCTTGTCGCAACACGACCTGTTCATGTACACAAACGTCGCGGCACATTTGGGATGCGGGGGCGATCGAGTGAAATATTGACGAGTTGTAGCGTTCGATTTAGTGCAAAGTTTTGGGCTCTTGGTTTTCACACTATCTGTCTCGCCGGCAGATACGCAACCACTGTGTTTGTTTAGCTGATTTCTACATCCGTCAAAATACAATGTTTTATGACAACAGTGACCATTGTCAACTGCTGTTCGAAAGTAACTATCAAGGATACATACTTAATAGAAATAGGACTGAGCTTATGAGGATGGCAACATACTTCACTGAATTACATCGGGCAGCTCTTAACTTACGACGTCAACCTGCTTTGCTTTGAACCTGAGTAATAACAAAGACCCATTGCATTCTCACTTCGCACTTTTCAAAATGTAACTTATCTACGGTTGTGTCATTCTTTGTCGCTTATCTACCACATAAGGACTGATGACTATTTTCAATAAAATTTATGTGATAATAACACGCTGCTGCTCGGTGTCAGAGATACACCAAGAGCTTAAAAGACATATCGACCACCCCCCCCCCCCCCCCAAGAAAACACCTTATATTTATTTGGCACGAGAATGCAGAATACGGGGCGTGACAATACGAAGCTCTGAGGTAACACAGTAGAGGCTAGGCGTATCAGTTGCACCGCAAAAGAGGGCAATTGCACTTGCAACATACAGGGGATAACGTTGACCCCGAATGGAAGATCTACCCCAAAACAAGTCGAGCGTTTCTGCAGGGCCAGCCGCGTCATCTGCACCAGCCGCGTCATCTGCACCAGCGTGACCCCAGCAGCGGCCCAGCGCCCGGCGCAGGCTCGCGCAGGCGAATCTCGCCCTTTCCGCGCGCCGTCGCCAGCCCACCTCTCGGATGTACTGCAGAAAGCTGAGGTCGAGCCGGTCGTCCTGCAGCCAGGTGAGCTCCAGGTTGCCGTCTACGTAGGTGCAGTTGGTGTAGCGGTCCCTGAGGTTCTGGTAGTGGGTGGTGCGGTTGCCCGGCACGGACATGCGTCCGCTCGTGCCGATGCAGACTGTGGGCACGGCGGGCCGGTCAGGCGCGGGGCAGGGGGTGCGGCGACGCCACAGACGCGGCGGCGCCAGCGCGGGCGCCGATCAGCGCATTGTGCATGCTGCGAGGGAAGACAAGTAGGAAGCGATGCACATCGGTTGTATATCACTGTCATAAAACAGCACCCTATACTTTGCTATAATCAACAGCAGCTGGATGGCTCAGTGCACGTTTGTTTTCTAATTAGAGGCAGAACAACAACGCATTTTCAAGATGTTGCCGCTCATGTACGCACGATGTTGTCGAACACGACCGTGCAATTGAAGGTACTTACTTTTTGGTTTATGCGGCATTTGAGGAGTGAAGACGTCAACAGACGGCTTCCCAAGGCCCTGACCCAGCGTCAGCACGCAACAAAACAGGAGCGCGCAGCCCACAAGGCTCGCGCCGCCCCGATTTGGCAGCATCCTGGCGATATGGCAGCCGACCGCGTACTATCTGCACGCGGCAGGCGAGGCCAGCTCGGAATGCACGGGCTCCGACATGGTATCACAGGGAGTGGAAGGTGGGCGGGCCGACTCAGACCGGCAGCTGAAAAAAGGACCAAGGGCCGTCACAGTGCGGTCAGCGTATGGGAGAACACAGGGCATGAGCAGCCGCATTCTTGTCCGGGCCGCCAGTCCGTGTGCGCCTCTCAGAGTTATTTGCTAGGCCGGCGTGTTCCGGACTTTTCTGCCCCGCGGCGACAAAGGGCGTCGTCCGCGGGGTCGTCACCTATCCTCAGTGACCGCCTGGCTTTATTGTTACTTGCTGATCCTTCCAACTCAAGCCGGGTAGACGCACTAGCATGCAGCTGTTCCGGTTTGTGCTGCGTGACCCTATCGAGGTCACAATAGCAGCTGTCCACGCACCAACCGGGCAGGGTGGCGTCAGTCCAAGCTCATGGTGTCCCCCCCCCCATACCCCACCTGTTTTGTGTCCACGCTGCATTCCAATCTGCCTCGGCTACGGCTGTCAGCTCGGTTGGCCGGCCGATCCATTGTTATCACCGGGCGACGAAACAAAAACTGGCAGCAGCCCGGCGGGGCAGAGTGGTGCAACGAAGGCCGAGGTCAGAGTTGGAAGACATCGATGGAATTTAAGCCGCGAGCCCACGAGCAAATGTGCAAATCCCTCGTTACGGTGTGCTTTTCTCTAGCCGCGAATTCACTGCCGTGTACACGTCCATACATTCAAAACTTATTTCATCGTGATTTGAGTGTCGAAAGTAGGATATAAAAATTGGCTTGTAAAGGTACGGACAATGAACTCGATGGTATACGCCTCTGGCGGAGTTTCTCCGCATATTTTAGACGAGAGTATTAAAAGCGGTCCGTTTATGACCCAGCCCTCGGTGCTAGTAGCCTCAGTCGACTGTCCCGTCTTGAATGCGCGTGCGCCGTCCGTCGCTCAAAGGATCGCGGGCCCGGCATCGAGTCAATTGTCATGTGCTATGCAAAGCGCAAGCCGAACAAGCCATCAATCATACTCGCTCTCATGGAGAATGCCTGCTATTTTCTCGCGGCATGGCGGCGACCGTGCTCGATGCAAATTTGGGTTTGCAACCTGCCCAGGATGCATAGGGCACCAGGTACGGAATGTGCGTCTTAACCCCCCCCCCCCCCCCCCCCTCTATCGAGAAAACTCGGCGGTGCCGAGTGATGCTGGGTCCTCTAACCGGTCCCAAGCGCCTCAAATCTCTTCGGCACAGACGGTCGGCAGAGCGTCGACCCCACGCCGACCTCGAACCGGTTTTACGGCTAACAGAACGTCCCACAGCCATCAGACTGATAATTGGTCCACAACAGGGGAGAATTCAGTAAAAAAATGAAGCGGTCTCGGGCGGGTATCTAAAGTTCACCTTTCACTTCATACGGGGTGCAAAGGTGATTGACGGTGGACCACAAACTTGAGTAGCTCGATACTCTAATTGCAATTCAGTGGACACGGGTACGAAATCATAAAATTCGTTAATCCAACACTTCATGCGATGAATATAAGCAATGTAGAGATTTAGTAGCATCCTATTCCGCTACTATTTCACATATTTCGCGTGCAGTTTATGGACATATTTGGTAGCATCCTCCATTCATATACGCATCGTGACAAGTCAAAACATCTACTGCTTGTGAGTCCGTGAGGGTGATGGGTCTGCACAACGCCACTCCGTTCCAGAGGGCCACACCGTTCCGTGTTCGAACAAAGCCGACTCTTAATATCAGCGCGTCCCATACAGCCGACCGCCTGTCAGGTACCCAGCCAGGACAAGCGTGAAGGGTATTCTGACGATGAAAGGTGCCGATGTCGGACGGCTGGCGGTCCCATCCGGAATCAGTGACGGGACGTCATGAGGTCGGCCCGCGGGGGCCGTCGGCCGTCCGCGTGTGGCACCCATCCCGTCAGCCGACCCCTCCGTCAGCAGAGGGCCGCGCCGGACGTGATGGCGCGCTCCAAGACGACCGTCTGAGGCCTTCGCTGGAACAATGACCCCGGCTGGACATTGGATCACGGGCTCTGAGCAGCGCGGTTGGCAGTCACCCGCGGCGTCTCTCCGCCTTTGTTGGATGCCGTGCTCTTTCAAAACTCGAAAGGACGCCTGTGACAAGCACTAATGCCCTCATCACTCGGCAGCGTAGTTCCACTGAGCTCTGCGCTCGCCGCTCGTCGGTGAATGTGTGCTCAACACCGCCCTTGTTTTCGGCAGGGCCGGGATTCACTGCTAGTCAGAGGAGCCAAAGCTTCGCTCTGTCAGCGGACGGCGGCATACCCAGCGCGGGGCATGCACAGGCGTAGGATAACGCTGGCTGCACTGCCCGTTACGTTGTGCCCGCACGCAAAACGAGTCCAACGCGAAAATCTCGCTTTGACTTGTTTCAACCAAATCCACGCATCTTCTGAGACCGTGAGTAACTATCTAAGAGTTAAAAGACTGAGAAACTATATACAAGTTACATTTTCGTCTGTATACAATCATGATTCAGCCCATTGTTACAAAACGGCTTGAGCTTTATACTAGCATATGACTTAACTTACACGGTTTTTGACCATATCGTAGTGTTCGGTGTATCACCAGCAATAGCACAAATACGCATGCAGCCCAGGGCAGAGCTGCAATGAAATGCAACATGTCGATTGCGGATGCAATTTCTAGATCAACATCATTTGGCGATGGGCCAGCTCATAAACCTTATTAAAGGCAATCCGCTTCTGGAAGCGAAAGTGCCAGCATATATTGCATGTTTACATACATAGCCTACCGGATGGCGCAAGAATTCCACCGCAGGCATGAGACAGCAAGATATGCGCGACGGTCCGTGACTTCCGCGTGTCTGCTGCTTGCCTTTCACACGGCCCCGCCACGCGACAGCACACCTGCGCCGGGCAGCTCAGGCAGCGACGTGATCGTCAAAGATTGCCAGGAAACAGTGGGTTCTAGATGTTAACCCGACGGTTAACGTGTTAGCTGTTAGATATGCCATGTTAGGCGTTAGATATGCCGGGTCTCACCTCCGGTACCGTGGATCACATGGTCGACCAATTGTCCTTGGCCGACGGACTCAGACTTATATTCATCTCTCCGTCAGTCCACTCTAAGTCGGCTTTTTGCCGTCTCTCGCACTTCCAGCCAGGAAACGTTGAACGACCGGCGGCCGGTCTGCCCAACACCCGACCGGGGACGTCTCATCCGGCGACCTCCGCCACCAGCCAGATCGTGCCCAGCGTTGGCCGGCCGGAGTCGGACGGCTCCTGCTAACCGGAGCCCCACGGCCGGCTCCAGCTAACCGGAGCCCATGGCCGGCTCCAGCTAACCAGGGCCCCACCGGCCGGCTCCAGCTAACAGGAGCCCCGCCGGCCGGCTCCAGCTAACAGGAGTCCCGCCTGCCGGCTCCGGCTAACCGGAGCCCCGCCGGCCGACTCCGGCTAACCGGAGCCCCGCCGGCCGGCTCCGGCTAACCGGAGCCCCGCCGGTCGGCTCCAGCTAACCGGAGCCCCGCCGGCTGCCGCTGCTGCTCCTGCTGCCGTCGACCGCTGATCGGCCGCGGATAGCGTCCCGACACAGGTCCAGGCATTGGTCGGCGCAGCGGGAGCCGCGCCACTGATTTAAAGACTGATTTCCACGCAGATAGGCCTGCTCTTTTTCACGTGCTGAACATTTTTCAAACACTGTTATGTTACACAGGGTGATTAATATGCTTTTCTGGAAGCTTTTGTATGAAAACATCTGCGATTGTGTTAGAAATTCTGGACAGGGAAATGTCACAGTCATATTAACAAATGAAGGTGTGGTGGTTCAAGAAAATGGTGCGTGCCTTCTTTCAAAATAACTTAAAAATCAGCCCTGCGGCCCAAATCATGTAGGTATGCCAAAAACCCACGCTCAGTCAACACTGCTGTATTCATAACCGTTGCGCTCAGACAAGACAATGATGCCCTTCCAGGCCACCTTATTTCACATAATAGCAATAATTCTCGCATGACTCAACAACGTTGCACTTTACTTAGTTCCATTTCATGCGGCTCTGACTGGCCTCGACATAACCGATTATCACTCGTGTGCTTGTGTGTGACCACGTGTTACTGCGGTCACGGGAGCTTGACGTCACATTAAAATGCACATTACAGTAAAACAACGGCCATTTTGTCCCTCAAAACGTCCGAAGATATTCAACCTTTCGTGCAAGGCTGGGCTGTCCAGCGTTGCAAACGTTACACCTTCAGAGCGGCCCTGAGTAACGTAAGTTAAAAATGCAAATGTCCAGGTACCTAACTATAAGTGAATACTTTTAGCCTTGTGACATTTTGGTTTGCTTATTTGAGTCTTTCAATAATTTTTTCCGTATTACGTTTCGACGGATCCACTCGGCACTCAGAACATGAGCTTGAAAGAGCTCGCACTTTATTTGTGTTTGCTAGTGTCCAGATACTACAATGCTGTGCACTTAACGAGACAATGAGTCAACACACGGCTAAGACCTTCCCACA